CATCTCAGCTTATTAAAAGATATAAGGCTGGATTTTGTATTGGAGCCTGGTAATCAGTTAGATGAAGTGTTTGTTTCCAGCGCGGCCATTGATGAGAACATCAGCAACCCTCAAATGGGGCCACAGAAAATGAGCAGCAATGAAATCCGGAGCCTCCCCATGCTGCTGGGTGAAAGAGATGTGATGAAGGCGCTGCAACTCCTGCCTGGTATCAAATTAGCAGGAGAAGGGAATAGTGGTTTTTATGTCAGAGGAGGGGCGACCGATCAAAATCTGATCCTGCTGGACGAAGCGCCCGTTTACAATGCTTCTCACCTGCTCGGTTTTTTCTCCACCTTTAACCCCGATGCAATCAAAGACGTTACCGTCTATAAAGAGGGGATGCCCGCGCAATATGGTGGAAGATTATCCTCGGTCATAGATATCAAAATGAACGAAGGCAACAGCAAAGAAACTGCCGTAGAAGGAGGTATCGGCCTCATTGCTTCCCGGCTCAAAGTAGAAGGTCCAATAGTCAAAGACAAAGGGTCCTATATGATTAGTGGCAGGAGAACCTATCTGGATGCCTTCTTTAAATTATCCCCCAATAAATCCATCAGTAAAAATGCACTGTATTTCTACGATCTCAATGCAAAAGCCAATTACAAACTGGATGAAAAAAACACCCTTTTCCTCTCAGGTTATTTTGGAAGAGATAAACTGAACCTCGTCAATATCTTTGGCTTTGATTGGGGGAATGCAACGGTAACCATGCGCTGGAACCACTTATATGGTCCGAAGCTGTTTTCCAATACCTCTCTCATCTACAGCTATTATAGCTATGAGATCAATAACCTGATGGAAGACGCTAACTTTGAAGTCAATTCATTCATCAGAGACTTTAACTTAAAGCAAGACTTCCAGTATAGTATCAGCAATAAACATCAATTGAAATTCGGCCTTAATGCTATTCATCATACCATCGCTCCCGGTAAGATGACCGCCACCAGCGCATCCAGCGTCAACCCCATTACTTATGAAAACCGTAAAGGACTTGAACTAGCCGTCTATCTGACGGATGAATGGAGTGTGAGCGACAAATTTAAAATGGTCTACGGATTACGGTTAAGCGGCTTCTCGGTAATGGGGCCGGGTAATTTCAAAACCTATGATGCCGATGGTAATCTCAAAGAAACCCATGCTTATAGCGCTGGTCAATCTGTGAAAAACTATCTCAACCTGGAACCCCGGTTTTCGGCCAGATATAAACTAAACAGTAACAGTTCCATTAAAGCTGGTTATACCCGGAATACGCAGAACATCCATCTAATGTCTAATTCGATGTCGACCTCTCCAACCGATTTATACATTATGAACAGCAATAATGTAAGGCCGGAAATCGCAGACCAGGTCTCTACTGGTTACTTCAGGAATTTCGATGATAATCAGTATGAATTTTCTGCAGAAATCTATTACAAATCAATGCACCACCAAATCGAATACCGGAGTGGGGCAGATTTGCGTGAAAAAGATAATGTAGAAGCTGATTTGCTTTATGGCGATGGCAGAGCTTATGGTATAGAATTGTTTTTCAAGAAAAGATTCGGCAAATTCAACGGCTGGATAGGCTATACCTATGCTAAAACCGAAAGACAATTTGATGCGCTGAATGAAGGCCGGTGGTTTAATGCCAAACAAGACCGGACACATGATATTTCTTTAGTCGGTATTTACAAAGCGGGTCCCCGCTGGACATTTTCTACCGTATTTGTGTACAATACAGGAAATGCAGTGACCTATCCGAGCGGTAAATATCAGGTTAACGGCAGAACCGCTTTCTATTATGCGGATAAAAACGGTTACCGTACCCCAGCTTATCATCGTCTTGATGTTTCAGCAACGCTGGAGGGGAAACCGGGTAAAGAATATCAATCCAGCTGGACATTTGGTGTTTATAATCTATACAATAGACAGAACGCTTTTGCAATCAATTTTAAGGATGATCCGGATAATGCTGCTAAAACACAGGTCGTGAGAACAACCTTATTTGGAATTATCCCTTCCGTAACCTGGAACTTTAAATTCTAGTATCATGATGTATTCAAACCATTACAGAAAAATTAAGCCAGGAGCAGGGTTCCTGATCGGGATATTATCGCTGGGTATATTTACAAGTTGTGAGAAAGCAATTGACCTGAACCTGGATAATACAAAGCCAGTCATTGTGATTGATGGCGGTGTAAATGACCTCAATGAAGTTCAGGTAGTCAGGATTTCCACTACCTATTCTTTTACAGAAGCGAATAAATTTAACGGGCTTGCCGGAGCAAAAGTTGTACTGACCGGCAGCGATGGTACAACCGTTAATTATACGGAGAAA